TGGCCACAGACAGAATCAATCACAGCCGTTTGCTCTGACTTTGGCACCATGTGGGTTCTTGAAAGACGGAAAGGGTTTATTTAGACTTGCAGACAGAAGACATATTACCCAGGCCTCTCCTGTTGCGAGTGAGGGACGTCCGATGCAAGGCGGTTTAAAGAAAAACAGAAAAGGTGAGAAGGGGTCTGCATTCCACCATCTATTTGCTGTCAGAAAGTTCAAGCAGAGGGCCAGCTCCAGGAACAGCTGGATCCAGCAGTTTCAAACTATACGTTCAGACTCTGCTTCTCCACTTGTAGCGGGAGCTAAACAGCGGGCGCACAGAGACAGAGCGGAATATCAGGCACTGCAGACGCCAGAGGTGGAAGGGGTGGGACGGGGTGAGGGAGGGACAATCACCGGTTGGGGTGCTGGGGACACTGTTTGGGTTGAAGGTACACGAAAAGCCCAGAGCTCACCACTGCGCAATGTATCTCTGTCTGCACTTGTACAAATCTGTACTCCCCAAATCTATAAAAGTCTTTAAAAACTGAAAAAGTGAAAAAGATACAACTCTCCTCTGAGCACCTCAAGGACCATCTGCGGGAACCCGGGAGGGCTCCCTGGAGGAGGGGGAGCTTGTGCTGAGCCTCGAAGGCGGAGGCGGCTGGAGGGAGGGCTTCTCCTGCAAACGGTTCGTCTGTGTGCGTCGGCCCGAGGCGTCTTCAGACTCCCTCGCTGTGGCAGGGACCACCGCGGCGCGGGGACCGGCCAGACAGACGCCCTCCCGCCCGGCCCGGGCTTCTGCCGAAGGCGTCTTCCTCCCTGCCCGCTAGGCCGCCGGCCCGCGCCCTCCTCTGCCCTCGCCAGCCGGGAGGAGCGGCCGCGGGCGCTTGCGCGGAGGGGGGCAGGGGCGGGGGGGGGGGGCGGGCGCGGGCAGGGCCGTGCAGCGGGCAGGGGCGGGCCTGGGGCGGAGGGGCGGGCAGGCGGGCGGGGCGGGGGCAGGGGTGGCGCCGGGGGCGGGGCGGGGCGGGGTGGCGCGGGGCGGGGCGGCGGGCGGGGCAGAGGCGCGCGGCGCGCGGGCCGCGAGGCGGGGCGGGAGGGCGGAGGCGGGGCGGCGGGCGGGCGGAGGCGGGCGCGGGGCGGGGCCGGAGGCGGGCAGGGCACGGGGCGGGCAGGGGCGGGCAGGGGCAGGGGCGGGGCGGCCAGTCGGCGGGCGGGCCGGCAGGGGGGGGGCAGGGGGCGAGGCGGCGGGGGCGGGCGGGGCGGGCGGAGCGGGGGGCAGGGGCCAGGGGGCGGGGTCCCAGGGGCGGGCAGGGGCCAGGGCAGGGGCGGCGGGCGGGAGCGGGTGGCGGGCACGGGGGCGACGGGCGGGGGGGCGGAGGCGGCGGGGGACGGGGGAGCGGCCAGGCGCGGGGCGGGGGCGGGCGGGGCGGCCGGGGGCGGGGTGGAGGGCGGGGCGGGGAGGGCGGAGGCGCGGGCGGGGGGGGCGGGGGGTGCGGGCGGGGTGCGGGCGGCGCGGGCGGCGGGCGGGGAGCGCGGCAGCGGCGGGCGGCTGCCGCAGGGCGGGAGGCGGCGGGGGCGGCGGGCCGTCCAGCTGCAATCTGGCCTCTCGTGCAACTTTCTCATATTTGAAGCCAAATATTTGGAGCAAACTCTGATAACCCCGTGGGCCAAACACTCATGCCCCTCTGGCTGGCGTCTCCACGGGACAGACTTGGCTGAAAATTGCTAAGACAGTAGATTTTAAACATTCTCACCATTAAAAATAAAAAAAAAGATGAGTAAGTGAGGTAATGGACATGTTAATTAGCTTGACTGAGCCATCCCACAATGCCCACATTTAGCATCGTGCTGTACAATATAAATACACACATTTTTGTCTGTCTATTAAAAACAAATCCAAATAAAGTAGGAAGGGTCATGGCTTCAGAAATGCACAATTCGTCCGAGCTGCAGTGTGAAACGTCCTGGTATTAATCCCACCGTTCTTGGCCACAGTGAACAAAATCCCCAGTAATGAAAAACTGTGTGACAATGAAATATACTAAACAACAAGGGAATGTATTATTGCCCTACAGAAATTATAAGGAAATCAATTACAGCAAACCAGACCGGGAAACAAACCGAGAGCCACACGAGAGTACTGCAAAACAGCTTTAGTTACGCCGGCCGGCTCAGAGGGGTCTCGCCTCCCAGTTCTGAGCGATATGGGGTCTAAGCCTGGTGGCTTTTATAGGTTACAGAAGCAAACGGTTACAAAGTCCTCATGAGACCGAGGTCTAGTTACTCTATAGTTGCTTCGTCATGCTATTTACACAGGATTGAAATCTGGTCAAAGGTCACTCTTTTAGCTGCTTAGTCATGCTACCGCGTTTCCCCGAACATAAGCCCTACCCGTAAAGCAAGCCCCCGCAGGATGTCTGAGCACGTGCGCCACAGAAGCCCCACCCCGAAAATCAGCCCTAGTGCCGGCGTGGCTGCGCAGCGTCTGCACAACCCGTGCGTGTCGTCGCGGAGCGGGAAAGAACACGAGCAGCCCTTCTCCTCCGCCCGTGACAGCTCTAGTGCTCAGCAGGAGAGATCGGGGCCGGTGGCTCTAAAGGAAACAGAGTCGCAAGACATTCAGGATGGGACTCGGGGTCTGGAGAGTGAGGATGATGTTCCAGGAGAAGACGACTTCACTCTATTTGAATCAATGCAGATGGTTGTACCGTCCTTAAAAAAAAATAACACATCCCCTGAAAATAAGCTGTAGGGTGTCTCCTTGAGGGAAAATAAATAGAAGACCCTGTTTTTTGGGGGGGAAACGCAGTAGTTTGCAGTCATGCTACTGTGAGGAAGGGAGTGGAAAGATTCTCCCTTGCATCCGCGTCGCTGGTGTCGGCTGACTGCGGCCGTGTCGCCCGAGGCCCACCCTGCCGCAGGCCGCAGCGCGCACGGGGCTGGGCCGGGCTCTCTGTGCGTGCCGTATGCCGGGTACTCAGCACGGCCCGGAGGGCTGCGGTGGTCAAGCAATACTTGTGGAATAAGCCAGTGAACGAAGAACGGGTGAGTACCTCACTAGTGCTTCAGGGAATGGCCAGAGAGGCAGGTGATGCCTGAGAAACACCTCCTAGGACGAAGAGAGCCTGGACAGGCAGGGCTGGCCGGCGGGCCACCGAGCTGTGCCGGCCACAACTAGCAGAAGCATGTGGGGGCCTGCACTGAGTCAGGGGGGCTTCTGCATGTCCAGGAGAAATACCGTGATTCCCTGAACATAAGACAGGGGCTTCTATTTATTTTTCCCCAAGAACACACCCTAGGACTTATTTTCAGGGGGTGTGTTATTTTTTTTTAAGGACGGTACAACCATCTACCTTTTTTCAAATAGAGTGAAGTCGTCTTCTTCTGGAACATCATCCTCACTCTCCAAACCCCGAATCCCATCCTGAACGTCTTGCGACTCTGTTTCCTTTAGCACCACCGGCCCCGATCTCTCCTGCCGAGCACTAGAGCTGTCACGGGGGGTATGAGAAGGGCTGCTCGTGTCCTTTCCCGCTCCGCGACGACACGCACGGGTTGTGCAGACGCTGCGCAGCCACGCCCGGCACTAGGGCTGATTTTCGGGGTGGGGCTTCTGTGGCACACGTGCTCAGACATCCTGCTGGGGCTTGTTTTACGGGTAGGGCTTATTTTCGGGGAAACACGGTAGGGAAATAGAAATCTAGGGAAGTAAAGGGTTCTAAGGCCGGAAAGACAACTGAGCCAAGTTTTGGAAGGATGCAAATTTCAAAGTGAGGACTTTATTCTTAGCTCGATGGGCAGCGGGGAGCCGTGGGGGTTGAGTGAAGGAGATGACCCACTCGAGAATTATCCTTGAGAAGATGACAGGACAGGGTGACTGCAGAGGGGAACTGGGAGCAGGAAGCACCGGCTTAAGAAGATTTTGCAATAGCTTTGGCAAAACTTGGAAAGCACGCCAATGGGGGTATCGTAGGTAAGAGACAGGATGGCAAACTGTGGGTGGTCACATTAGAAAACCTAGCAGCAGATGAGGACGTTTAAGAAAGAAAACCACTGGTAACCGGACTGTCAGCTTCTAGGACTCCTGTGTCTTTTTCATCCTTATATACCCAGTTGAAAAGATAGTTTTTTTCTTAGAAATTGTGGAAAGGAAATTAATTTGAGGGCTGAATATGCTCGGAGAGACACCACACACACACACACACACACACACACACACACACACACACACACACACACGGGAGATAAAATCTGGCCCAAAGATCTACTCTATTTGGCTTATTCAATGTTTGGTTAGCAACATTTAAAAACTGAGAGATTTCTGGCTGGGTGTGGCGGCTCAGGTCTGTGATCCTAGCACTCTGGGAGGCTGAGGCAGGAGGATCGCTCAAGGTCAGGAGTTCAAGACCAGCCTGAGCGAGAGCGAGACCCCGTCTCTACTATAAATAGAAAGAAATTAATTGGCCAACTAAACATATATATAGAAAAAATTAGCTGGGCATGGTGGCACATGCCTGTAGTCTCAGCTACTTGGGAGGCTGAGGCAGGAGGATCGCTTGAGCCCAAGAGTTGGAGGTGGCTATGAGCGAGGCTGACGCCACGGCACTCTAGCCCAGGCATCAGAGTGAGACTCTGTCTCAAGAAAGAAAATAAATAAATAAAAATAAAAATCGAGAGTTTTCCCATGACGGTCCCGCACGGCACTCACTGGTGTCCTTCTCAGAGGGGTTCACTCGTGACCCGCCTGGGCTCGCAGGGCAGCTGAGTCGGGTCCCTGGCTAAAGAGAAGCTGATAAGGTCCAAGGAGGCCACTTTTGGGTGCACCACGAAACGTGGCCTGGGAGTATCTCGGAGGAGGAGACACCTGCTCTCCCCCCACCCAAGACGTCTGATGACCCAGGGAGGGACAGACTCTCAGCACTGACAGTGTTCCCTGCCAGCACCAAGTCCAGGGTCGTGGGGTTAAACAGATGTCGTGAAATCACCGGGCCACAGTGCAAAAAAAAAAAATCAGATGAGGGTGCGTGTTGAACTCGCAAAACTTTTATTGATACGTTTACCATGAGGCGGAAAAAGTCATCTATTTGAAATCCAGATTCCACTTGAAAAGGAGAGAGGCGACACGTGAGAGTTAGGGTCCCTGCCTGCTCTTGGAGGGGCTCCCGTGCCCACAAAAAGAAGAAAAAGAAAGCACTCGCGTCCTATAGCTAAGCGACGCCATCCCTCAGAAATGCATTCTGGGAAGTCCCTCCACGAGCTCCCTGGGAGGGTTCTGCTGGCGTCTGTCGCTGGTCGCAGGCGGGAAACAGCCGAGAAACCAAACAGAGCACTCCATCCTGGCACGTCCTGAACGTTTCTGGTTTCGAGGCCCCTGACCCTCCGGGACCCGCCGCCCTCGAACCTAGAATATATATATGCATGTGTTAATATGTATACTCCCGCCGGGAACCGCACGGCTGTGCCCGAGCCTGCTGGCTCTGCGTCAGCCCCGGGGACGGCGCGCACACCTGCTCTTCTCGTGGCGGGCGGCCGCTCAGGCGCGCTTGGACTTGCTGCAGGTCGGGCACAGAAGCTGCCCCTTGGTGACGATGTACGCCCGGCCGCTCAGGAGCTGCTCGCAGCCCTCGCAGGCGAAGTGCTTCCGGTGCCAGGCCAGCCCTTCCACGCGCTGGTAGTCCTCGGCGAAGATGAGCTGGGGAGGGCGGCAGAGGCAGCGTGAGGCTCGGGTTCGGTCCCTGCCGTGTTTCCCCGAATATAAGCCCTCCCCATGAAACAAGCCCCACAGGATGTCTGAGCACGTGCGCCATAGAAGCCCCACCCGAAAATCAGCCCTAGTGCCGGGCGTGGCTGCGCAGCGTCTGCACAACCCGTGCGTGTCGTCGCGGAGCGGGAAAGAACACGAGCAGCCCTTCTCCTCCGCCCCGTGACAGCTCTAGTGCTCCACAGGAGAGATCGGGGCCGGTGGCTCTAAAGGAAACAGAGTCGCAAGACACTCAGGATGGGACTCGGGGTCTGGAGAGTGAGGATGATGTTCCAGGAGAAGGCGACTTCACTCTATTTGAATCAGTGTAGACGGTTGTGCTGTACTTAAAAAAAAATAACACATCCCCTGAAAACAAGCCCTAGGGTGTCTTCTTGGGGACAAATAAATATAAGACCCTGTCTGATTTTCAGGGAAACACGGTATGTAGGGCAGGTTACAGGGAGGTGGTTCATTCGTCGCATTCATATGTGGACTTTTAAAAGCCCCAGCAGAGGAATGGGACGTGGGTCTGAGGCGGTAAGCCCAGCAGCTGGCAAAGGGCGTTTTTGCGACTCAGCTTCTGAGATGGAAACAAGCCGCCTCCGCCCCAGGCGGGTTTCACTGAGCCAGCGTCTGTGATAGCTCTTTGGGGCAATCCCAAAGTCCCCCTGTCCTGAGATGGGCCGGCACTCCCGGGGAAGACAGCTTAGGGCGCACAGACAGCCCGCCAGTGGCCAGTCTTCGAGAGCAGGAATGCAGAGCGCCCCTGGGCGTGGACTGAAGCGACACTTTGGAAGATGCATATGTGAGGAGCCCGAGGCTCAGAATAGTGCGGTGGTTTCCGGACTTCTGAGTTTGGAGTCAGACGGGAACGGATGGGGACAGACGAGCGCCTCTCTGAGCCTCAGCTTCTACACCCGTAAAACGGGCACGCAAATGCTCGCCATCCCACAGGGTTTAGGGGTGCTGAGGGACCTGCGACATTGGCCAAGGTCGGTGCTGCGTGATTGTCATTGGCCTCTCTGAGCTGCATGTTCTTCAGATGTGACACGGAGACCCGTGTGAGTCTCTCTGTAGAGAATTATCACGAGGCGTCCGTCCGCGACGCTCACAGCAAATCCCGACTCGCCGTGAGCCCTCACCGGCCACGGGCCACGGAGACCGCTGCTGGGTGTGAGCTGTCGTCTCCGCGGAAACGACGCCAAGGGCAGGCCTGTGACGCGCCTGCCCTTCTCACTGTCACTTGGGAACCTCGTACTAGGCAAGAGGATGGCAGAGTCCCAGCTCACACGGAGACCGGGACGCAGGTGGCGGCAGGAAGCAGATTCTGGCCAAATGGGAAGAGGACATATCTAGCCTTTGTACGGGCCGAAGAGGAAGGCAGTGTGTGGCCTGCTACTCGCAGCGTGTAGAGTCCTCACTATTATTAATATTGTAATTAGCTGTTATTAATACACCTTGGGGCCGGGCGCGGCGGCTCACGCCTGTCATCCCAGCACTCTGGGAGGCCGAGGCGGGAGGATTGATCGAGGTCAGGAGTTTGACACCAGCCTGAGCAAGAGTGAGACCCCGTCTCTACTAAAAAAATAGAAAGAAATTAATTTGGATGACTAAAAATATATAGAAAAAAGAATTAGCCGGGCATGGTGGCGCATGCCTGTAGTCCCAGCTACTCGGGAGGCTGAGGCAGGAGGATTGCTTGAGCCCAGGAGTTTGAGGTTGCTGTGAGCTAGGCTGACGCCACAGCACTCACTCTAGCCTGGGCAACAAAGCGAGACTCTGTCTCAAAAAAATAAAAAATACACCTGGGGGTTCCTCTTGTCCCAGCCTGTATCAGAGTCTTGGGTGGCTTCCGCGGCATCCGTAAGGACCGCGTTGTGCTGTGCTACACTCTCGCTGAATCGTCACAACACATCGTATTAAACTGTGTCGTCGTGAGACTAACAGCAGGTGCATTTGTTGGTTACCGGGCGGGCCCTGTGCACCAAGCATTTTCACGCATCATCTCTTATCTTCGTGGGGTGGGTGCTGTTCTCACCCCCGTTCGAGTGATAAACTGAGGCACAGGGGCGAGGCGACCAGGCGACTCTGCTAACGGACCCAGGCCCCTGTTTGAATGCGGTCCCGCTGACGGGCTTCTGCGCTCGGAGTGAGCGCCAGACGCGGAGCCCAGGACGGGGCTGGGACGGTCTGCGGTCTGCGTCTGACCCGCCCCAGCAGCCTCGAGGGCGGGAATTCGCATCAGCCCCATTTTGCAGATGAGAGACAGGGCTGAGAGCGCGCCATGAGGCCTGGCCTCAGTTTCCCTATCTGCACAGCCCCGCCCCTGTGGGCCTGCCCTCTCCACCGCAGAGGTCGGCCATCCGCTCTCGCGCCTGCGCCGCCGCCGCCGGCCAGTCCCGCTCCGCCCCCTGCTCCCGCCAGCGCCGCCGCGCGCCGCCAGCCGCCGCCACCGCGCCGGCTCCAGCCGCGCGCTCCCCGCCGCCGGCCCGGTCTCCACCTATCGCACGGAGCAGCGGGGCCGCAGGCTCTCGCAGTAGTGGCGGCCGCACCAGGGCGCGCCGTCCTTCCAGAAGTAGATGAGGTCCACCAGCGGCTCGCGGCAGCGCGCGCACAGGAAGCAGGCCGGGTGCCACTGCTTGGCGTAGCCCGCGCGGCCCGCGTACACCACCGGGCTGTCCGCGGGCGCCGCGGCCTTGCACAGCTCGCACACCTGGAGGGCGGGAGGGCCACAGAGACGGGCAGCAGTCAGGGGCGCAGGGCTGGGCACCGCCCTCTCCGCCTGGCCCCTCTCCGCCTTCCGCGCCCCGCACGCCTTCCCGGCCAGCTCAGGGCCTCCACCAGGCCGAGCGCCACTCACGCTGCTCCGCAGCGCGGTCCTTTTTGTGAGGCAGAGTCTCACTCTGTTGCCCCGGCTAGAGTGAGTGCCCTGGCGTCAGACTCGCTCACAGCAGCCTCCAACTCCTGGGCTCAAGCGATCCTCCTGCCTCAGCCTCCCGAGTGGCTGGGACTACAGGCATGCGCCACCATGCCCTGCTAATTCTTTTTTCTATATAGTTTTAGTTGGCCAATTCATTTCTTTCTATTTTTTTTTGTTTGTTTTTAGTAGAGACAGGATCTTGATCTTGCTCAGGCTGGTCTCGAACTCTTGAGCTCAAATGATCCTCCTGCCTTGGCCTCCCAGAGTGCTAGGATGACAGGCGTGAGCCACCGCGCATGGCTCATAAAATCTTTTGGGCCATGTTGGAGTTATCCCCTGCTCTTCAGAGATGATGGTGATGATGATGATGGTGATGATGATGGTGATGATGGTGATGATGATGATGATGATGATGGTGATGATGGTGAAGATGATGATGGTGGTGATGATGATGATGGTGGTGGTGGTGATGATGGTGGTGGTGGTGATGGCCATCGTGTCCTCAGGACTTGTGCTCGTTCCATGCCCTTACACACATCCAAGAGAGTTATCTCCCCTTCTAGAGTTCTCTCTAGTAGGGAAATCATTATTTTTCTCTCCTAGACATGGCAGAAGTGAGGTTCAGAGAGGTTCGGTGACCGGCTCAGTGCCCCACAGCGGACGGGAGGCAAAGCCGGGCCCTGAGCACAGGCCGAGCGGACCCAAAGCCGGAGTTCTTTCTCCTGCGTCCTGTGGCCTTCAATCTGGCCTCAGCCACCGCAGCCACGGCCAAGCCTGGCCACTGTCTGCTCTTGTGAGACCCGTGAGAATGAAGAGTGAATTCTACATTCGCCCTCCAATTAAGTGAAATGTGTTCTCTCAAAAATAAAGAACTCCATTTTTTCTCATCAGTAGAATTATATATATATATTTTTAAAAAACAGCTCTGCCCTCAATTATTATTATATTTTAATTTCATTGATAAAAATCCCATAGAAGGCCGGGCGCAGTGGCTCACGCCTGTAACCCTAGCACTCTGGGAGGCCGAGGCGGGCGGATTGCTTGAGCTCAGAAGTTCGAGACCAGCCTGAGCAAGAGTGAGATCCCGTCTCTACTATAAATAGAAAGAAATTAATTGGCCAACTAAAATATATAGAAAAAATTAGCCGGGCATGGTGGCGGGCAGAGCCGGGCAGAGGAATGTGACTGGCTGGCCGGAGACACCCTTAACCGGGTCCTGACCCCCAGAATGTGCTGGATTGGGGTTCAGTCACACCCCAGAGAGCTAGCGGCCCGGGCTTGCGCCACAGCGGGACACCCAGGCGCTGTCCTCGCGACGGGGCCCAGCCACCTGGCGTGAGCTCCTGGCCCAGCGACGCCTCCGCATCCCTGGCTGCACCACGCCTCGGGGAGCCGGAGTCGCAGCTGCCGTGTTTCCCCGAAAATGAGCCCTGCCCTTAAAACAAGCCCCGGCAGGATGTCTAAGCACGTGCGCAATAGAAGCCCCACCCCGAAAATCAGTCCTAGTGACCGGCGTGGCTGCGCAGCGCATCTGCACAACCCGTGCGTGTCGTCGCGGAGCGGGAAAGAACACGAGCAGCCCTTCCCATCCGCCCGTGACAGCTCTAGTGCTCGGCAGGAGAGATCGGGGCCGGTGGCTCTAAAGGAAACAGAGTCGCAAGACACTCAGGATGGGACTCGGGGTTTGGAGAGTGAGGATGATGTTCCAGAAGAAGACGACTTCACTCTATTTGAATCAGTGTAGATGGTTGTACCGTACTTAAAAAAAAAACACCACATCCCCTGCAAATAAGCCCTAGGGTGTCTTCTTGAGGAAACATAAATAGCAGGCCCTGCCTTATTTTTGGGGAAACGCAGTGTTTCCCCGGGGCTGCTTGGGCACAGACGAGTCCCCGTCTGGCTTCCAAGCGTCAGGGAGAGGAACCTCCAGCCCTTTGCCGCCCGCGCAGAAAGGCCTGTTATTGTTATTATTATTATGCTTCTTTGAGTTCAGGGCTCGGCCAACACGGCCCACCCATCTGCGGGCCCGCGCGGTGCACCGCCTGTGTTTGCAAGCGGAGTTATCAGGTGGGCACGGCCACGGTGCCTGTCGCGACGTCGTCCGTGGCAGTTCTGATGCACAGGGCCGAGCTGGTCGGGCCTCGGGGACCGCGAGGTCTTCAGCAGTCACGGCCTGCCGCTACAGAGGGGCGGCCGCCCGTGTGCCCGAGGGGCTCTGGCAGCCCCTCGAAGGGAGGAGGAGGACATGCTCATGCACGCCGCGTGCCCGCGTGGGGAAGTATTCATAGCATAAAAACTGGGAGAAAGGGAATTTTCCTTGGGAAAAAAAAAGATCTCCTTGAATGTCATTAAAATGTCCGCACTACAGAGGAGAGGGGGAGGGGAGAAGCTTGTAACCATGGTGACTTTGCCGGGCTGCTCCCAGGCCCCTGTCTGTCAGTGCTGGAGGCAGGGGCGCGGGGTGGCGTTCCCTTGGCTGAGCGACCCCCGCTCTGTCCTGCCCCCCTCGTGGCGGCCTTGGCTGTCCAGCTCGGAGGGTTGCAAAGGGGCGGAAGGGTGGTTGAGGTTTCGGATTCCCAAATGGGGCTGGCGGGACAGCCAGCCAGCCAGCCTCCCAGCCCAGGAGCCAAACATCTGCTGGGACAGAGGCCTGCAAGTCCCTTGCCCACAAATACGTCCCTGTGTTGGGGTGGAGCCTGGCTGGGCCTCCGGCAGCTGTGGGCCTCCATCGGAGAGGCGGGAGGGGCCCGGCCCCCGCGCCCCCATCCTTGCGCAGGAAATGGAGCAAGGAGAGTGCCCCGCAGGCAGGGCCCAGGAGGGTGAGCAGGGCCACTCACACATCTCTAGGCCCGCCAGCGGGGGGGCATCTTCACTCCCTCCAGTCACTCCTCCTCCCAGCTTGCTCCCTTTGGGGTGATCCCTGGGCCTGGCATGGGGGCGGGCAGGGGGGCTCCTGGCCGAAGCGATATTCACACTAAAGAGTAGGAGTCGCCGCCCATGCCATGCTCCTGCTTTCTTTCCCGCGTCCTGCAGTGGCAGGGCCGGCGTGCGGGACGGGGTGGGATTCCGGGCAGCCTGAGCCTGTCCAGCAAACCCGCGGGTTCCGTTCTGAGAAAATACCCAGCCGGCGTCCATGCAGGGGACCGGCTTCGCCGCCCGAGCTGTGCGGGTCAGGGCGTTGAGGGTGGCGGCCGAGATGCACCCAGGCGGGGCGCGGGGCGGGGCGGGGGTAAGGGGCTTCGCCGCGCAGCTGTGAAGGGGCCGGGTTCTTGGAGCTCGCAGCTGGCTGCCCGCAGAGCCCTCTGAAGCCCGAGACCCTCGGGACCCTTGGGGAGCCCTGGGTGGAGGGAACTTTCTCGGCGGGCAGACGGGAGGCTCCCAGCCTCTCCCGGGGCGAGCTAGGAGTCACGAGCACGCCCGGGCACTGTCGCCCCACCCTTCCAGGCCCCCGCCCCGCCCAGGGCTGCTCAGACTCGGCAGGGCAGCCGGCAAAGCAGAAAGGCCTGGGGCGGGTTCCCAGCCCAACACGCACCGCCAAGCTGGCGAGCGCCCTGCCTCAGGGCTCTCATCTGCGTAACGGGCACGGCAGCCCGACGCCTCGCACGCCTCTTGCAGGGCGTCGCAAAGGGCTAAGCCAGGCGTCCTCAAACTGCAACCCGTGGGCCACATGCCGCCCGCCGAGGACGTTCACCTGGCCGCCGGGTGTCTTTGCCGCCACTGCCTGTCCTGCTCAGCAGCCGACCGTCGCAGCCGCAGTGGGCATGTGTGGAATGCGCCCCGCTCTCCAGCCGTCTGAGGGACGGTGAGCTGGCGCCGTTTAAAAAGTGTGAGGACCCCTGGTCTAAGGGCATCTCGACCTGAACAGCCGCCCCCCCTTCTCGCCGCACCCCACCCCACCCCTGCACACGGGCAAGGGAGGGAGACGGGGCGCAGCGCCCTCAGGCTGCACCTGTTCTCAGCGGCTGAGAGGGGCTTCTCGGGGAGGGCGGGTGAGTTGCTGCCGCGTTTCCCCGAAACTAAGACAGGGTCTTCTGTTTAGTTTTCCTCAGGAAGACACCTGGGGCTTACTTGCAGGGGACATGTTATTTTTTTAAGGACGGGACAACCATCTCCACTGATTCAAAAGCGTGAAGGGGCGGCGGACGCCGCGCTGCCCAGCACTGCGCTTGGCTCAGCAGCGCCCGTCGGCTGAGGCTGCCGGCAGCCATGACGACGGCCACGGCCACGAATCACGACAGGCAGGTGCTGCCAACAGAGCTCCAGAATGTTCCACGGGTCTCTCCTTTTGAGGTTCATTCCCCCCAGATAGATCTCTGTTTGGTTTGGGGGTGTCAGGCTGAGCCCCACAGTTTCCTCCCCGCCCGCGCACCCCCAAGTCCAACGCCCTGACTGTTTCATTGCCTTTCGCCAGGGGGCAGAAATTGGGCTCCCCGCCTGGGGCTGGGCTCCCGCAACGGTTCCACGCCGCCCTTTGGTGGGGAAGGAGAAGGGAGAGGGCTCACACAGCCGGCCGGCGTGCATCTGCCTGAGGTGGCCGACCTGGGGGACGGCAGACAGTTGAGGGGTGCAGGCCACGCGAGCGGCCTGTCTGCTGCGGACCCCTGTGCCAGCATTTGCTCCCCTGCTTCACACAGACAGACACGGAGTCAAACAAGACCACCCTGTCTTCTTCTTTCCTGGATCAAATAACTCGGCATCCTGTGGTACAAAAGAGCATCGCCTCTTATAACCCTGGCACTCTGGGAGGCCGAGGCGGGAGGATCGCTCAAAGTCAGGAGTTCGAGACCAGCCTGAGCAAGAGGGAGACCCCGTCTCTACTATAAATAGAAACAAATTAGCTGGACAACTAAAAATATATATAGAAAAAATTAGCCGGGCATGGTGGCGCATGCCTGTCGTCTCAGCTACTCGGGAGGCTGAGGCAGGAGAATCGCTTGAGCCCAGGAGTTTGAGGTTGCTGTGAGCTAGGCTGATGCCACGGCACTCTAGCCTGGGCAATAGAGTGAGATCCTATCTCAAAAAGAAAAAAAGAGTATTTATTGCCTCTTAGAAACTGCAGGACCTTGGAACAGCTACCTACTGGCTGAATCGTAGATTCCTCACCTATAGAATGGGGTTGGTGAAATTCACCCTGCCAGGCAACTGGCAGAATTAGAGACAGTGTGAGCACGGTGGGCGGGCAGAGCAGGCACTCAATAAATGTGGACTGGGGCGCTCCCCACCCTCCCAGGCAACGTGGCCGTCCAAACTGACCCCCTCTTCCAAGGCCCGATGGAGTTCAAACATTCATGGGCTTGTTCGTGGACCGCATATCTGCTGAGCACCTACTGTCCTTATCAATGGCTCCTGCTGCAGACACAAAGCCGAATAAAACCTTAGCATCTGGAGGCTGTTGGAGACATTGTAACTAATTACATAGTTAATTAAAATTGTGTCAGGGCAAAGGAGAAGTCTGTTTTCTGCAGCTGGCTCAGCCTCAGCCCCACCTGTAATGGGCTTCCTTCAGATTCCCTACTTCTTTTCTTTTCTTTCTTTTTTTTCTTTTTTTGAGACAGAGTCTTACTCTGTTGCCCGGGCTAGAGTGCCGTGCCATCAGCCCAGCTCACAGCAACCTCCAACTCCTGGGCTCAAGCGATCCTCCTGCCTCAGCCTCCCGAGTGGCTGGGACTACAGGCATGCGCCACCACGCCCGGCTCATTTTTTTCTATATGTTTAGTTGTCCAGCTAATTTCTTTCTATTTTTAGTAGAGACGGGGTCTTGCTCTTGCTCAGGCTGGTCTCCAACTCCTGACCTTGAGCCATCCTCCCGCCTCGGCCTCCCCGAGTGCTAGGATGACAGGTGTGAGCCACCGCGCCGGGCCCCTACTTATTTTCTGACTATGGAATTTACCATGTACTGTCCAGTACTGTCATTTGAATCCTTCCCAAGTGTCACAAGTATTTCTTAGAGCTGACTGTAGGCAGGGATGGGGCATCTCAGGCTGCCTTTGCCCCAGTTCCACAGAGAACAAACATGCAGGGCTCGGTCAAGAGCAAAATGCATTCTCACGTCAGCCGCTCTCTCGGGAGTGGCAATGTGGGAACGTCGTGGCGACTTAGAGGCCTCCTTCCAACTTGGGATCATTAGATCGACAACTATTTGAGAGAGTACGGAAGGACGGGATTGGGATGAGGCACGAAGACCAGTTTATGGGACGTGGGAACTGGCTCTGATTGTCGTTGTTGTTTTTATAAAAATAGAGATGGCAGTCTCGCTGTTGCCCAGGCTGGTCTCAAACTCCTGAGAGTCAAGTGATCCTCCCGCCTCGGCCTCCCAGAGTGCTGGGATGACAAGCGTGAGCCGCCGTGCCCGGCCTAGATCTGACTTTTTATTTGTTTGTTTGTTTTTGAGACAGAGTCTTGCTCTGTTGCCTGGGCTAGAGTGCCGTGGCGTCAGCCTCGCTCACAGCAACCTCAGACTCCTGGTTCAAGCCATCCTCCTGCCTCAGCCTCCTGAGTAGCTGGGACTTTTAGGCATGTACCACCATGCCAGCTAATTTTTTCTATGTATTTTTAGTTGTCCATCTAATTTCTTTCTATTTTTAGTAGAGACGGGGTCTCACTCTTGCTCAGGCTGGTCTCAAACTCCTGAGCTCAAGCAATCCTCCTGCCTCGTCCTCCCAGAGTGCCGGGATGACAGGCGTGAGCCGCCAGGCCGGCCACACGGGACTTCTTTGGATGCTCTGACCTCCCCGTGCTCTCAGCCTGGCGGCTTCGTGGCGCACGCTCCCATTGCAGCCTGGAGGCGTGGGGACCCTGCTCACGCTCCAGAGCCCAGCTGGTGCCTGCCCCGCGGCCGGCAGCCTCCCTCCAAGCAAGGCCGGGCGCCCTTTCTCTGTGCCGAGACGGTTTGGTTGCCTGTGACCTCCACTGTGCTATGAATGAGCCTGTCAAGGGTTTGTGACCTTGAATTATTTTCCACGGGACAGTGTCAGACACAGAGTAAACGAGCAACCAACCCGCGCCGCATGCATGAATCCACGGATAAATGCATGGAGCCTCGCAGTGGAAGCTGGTGGAGGCCGGGGAGACACTTACGTATTCCGCCTCTTTGGACGGGTCCCCGAGGCTGCCGTTGGTGGCAGGGGCAGCGGGCTCAGCGGCCTCCGGCTTTTGCTGCGGCTTCCCGTCCTCCCTGGGCAGGCCGCCCTGGCCCGGCAGGGCCACCTCGCCCACGCCGAGGGCCTCGCTCTTATACTGCTTGACGAATGCTTCCATCGCCGGCAGCTCGTCCTCTGCAAGGCCCCGGCAGCAGGCGGGGTCCTGGTCGTAGACGGGGAGCTGGCGCATGAGCTGGCGCCGGCGGTACAGTGCGCCCTCCGTGCCGGTCACCGGCTGCTTCTCCTTGGGGACCAGCTCCATGTACTGCAGGCCCTGTTGGAGGGGAGGCCAGGTGGTGTGGACGGGCTCTGCCAGCCAGAGAGACGACGACAGAGCCCACTCGGAACGCAGCGCACAGGGGCCGGGCACGGTGGCTCACACCTGTCATCCCAGCACTATGGGAGGCCGAGGCGGGAGGATCATTCGAGGTCAGGAGTTCGAGACCAGCCTGAGCAAGAGCGAGACCCCCACGTCTCTACTAAAAATAGAAAGAAATTAGCTGGACAACTAAAACTATATAGAAAAAATTAGCCGGGCATGGTGGCGCATGCCTGTACTCCCAGCTACTCGGGAGGCTGAGGCAGGAGGATCGCTTGAGCCCAGGAGTTGGAGGTTGCTGTGAGCGAGGCTGACGCCATGGCACTCACCCTAGCCCGGGTAGCAGAGTGAGACTCTGTCTCAAAAAACCCAAAAAACTCCACATGCCACACCCTTCAGCCAGCGCCTGAGACAGCACAGCCTTCACGTCGGAACGTGGCTTTAGGGAGAGTGTAGGGGGGCGTGATCTCCGCGTGCCTCGTGTGTGCGGGAAATGTCCTGTGTCTTGGTCTTGCTGACGGTGCCATGGAAGTCCGTCTGTGTCAGCAAGTGCAGCGGGCTGCACACGTGAGATGCACACGGTTCACCGTCGCACAGCCGTGTGACACGAGTGACATTTCAGTGTGCGGTGGGCCACATACCACAGGGGTCCCATAAAAGTATGGCGGGGCTGAAGAATTCCCATCGGCTAGCGGCAGGCGTTGTGACCGCCTGCTGGGCCGTGTGTGGCACAGTGACACACGTCTGCAGCCCGGGAGCGACACGCCACGCCACGCCGTGCCCTCCCTGGCGCCTCTGCTCTCGCTGCTCCGTCTACCTGAAGCGCCCTTTCTCCCTGCTCTTTGGCGTGGCTGGGTCTTCTCAAAGAGGCCCTCTGTCACTGCTCCACGCACAGCAGATGCCCCCGGACCTCCCGCCACGCGCCCTCTCTTTCTGTTTCTGCAGAAGCCTTTTCTGCAAGCTGGGATTCCCTTACGCTCCGCTGCGCTCGGTGGGTCTCCTCTCTTCTCCACCCTGGGGTGAAGTGGCTCCCACAAGGGCAGACGCCGGGCCTGCCTGGCCACCGTGCCACCCGTGCCCAGCACAGTCTAGACCAGGGGTCCTCAAACTTTCTAAACAGGGGGCCGGCTCACTGTCCCTCAGACCGGTGGAGAGTGCGCACTGTGGGCCCGGGACGGCCGGCTGCCAAGCAGGACAGGCAGCGGCGGGCCGGATAAATGTCCTTGCAGGCCGCATGTGGCCCTCGGGCCGTAATTGAGGACGCCCGGTCCCGAGGGTCTCTATCTCAACCTAACTGGCTGCAGGGCCGGGGCTAAGGCCACCGCTGCTAAGGCCACCGCCGCCCCCACCGTGTTTGGTGGCATGACCTCTTGCCACCCCGTCCTTGAAATTCGGAAACCCGCGCCGCCACCCCGGTGGCTGAGGTTACGGGGCGTGGAGACCGTGGGTGGGCGGAGGCCGTCTTACCAGTTTCTGGGTGACCCCTGGGGGTGCCCACTCGTAGGTGATGGTGTCGAAGGTGGGGTCCTTCCCGGTGGCGATGGGGTTGGTCATGATCATCCGGTTCCGCTTGTAGATGCGGACGCCGCCGCCACCTCGCACGCGGGCTGTGAGGGAGGCGTGCGTGGAGCCCGTCAGCAGGCGGCCGATCTTCCGGTCGTCCTCCAGGTCGGAGCTGAGGCAGTGCTCCTCTTGGCCACACCGGCAAGACCTGCATATCTTCCTGGGGGGGGGGAGAAACTTCCAGAAAAGAGGCAGAGGCTCCTTGCCAGCAGCAACTACCCTTTTTGAAAGCATGTTCAAAGTTTCACATAGTAACTTGGAAAAGGGAGGCAGCAGACAAGTGGTAACTTGAGACAAAAAAATGCCTTTGGGATTGGAAACTGCATGCCCAGCCAGTCTTCTTCTCTCTCCTCTCCTCGCCTCGCCCCGCCCGGCCCCTCCCCTCCCCTCTCTCTCCCTCCCCTCCCCTCCCGCTCTCTCTCCTCTCCCCTGCCTCCCTCCCTCCCCTCCCTCCCCGTCTCTCCTTTCCTTTCCTAGACAGAGTCTCACTGTGTTGCCCAGGCTAGAGTGAGTGCCGTGGCGTCAGCCTCGCTCACAGCAACCTCACACTCCTGGGCTCAAGCGATCCTCCTTCCTCAGCCTCCCAAGTAGCTGGGACTACAGGCATGCGCCACCATGCCCAGCTAATTTTCTCTATATATTTTTAGCTGCCCAATTAATTTCTTTCTATTTTTAGTAGGGACGGGGTCTCGCACTTGCTCAGGCTGGTTTTGAACTCCTGACCTCGAGCAATCCGCTTGCCTCGGCCTCCCAGAGTGCTAGGATTACAGGCGTGAGCCACTGCACCCAGCCCACTGCAGTCTATCGGTCTATTTGTGCAGAATGGGGAATACGACTTTTATCGGTAAAAAGAGTGGCACATTTTTCCTCCCTGTGGTTGCCATGGCAAAGGCTGGTTTGTTCCTTAGACATGTTCTCAGCCTGGAGTCTATCTGTCTGGCCCATAGCCTGAACCTGGCCCACAACTTGCTTCTCTAAATAAAGTTTTATTGGAACATAGCCACGCCCATTTATCTGCATATCGTCTGCGGTTGACTGGGGGCCACCGTGGAGCAGGTAAACAGAGACCAGCTGGCCCACAGGCCTGAAATATTTACTTTCTGGCTCTTTACAAAAAAAGTCTACTAACCTCTAACATTAAAGAATTATTAAAATTGTCTCCCATGATTCACGAGTCATGGAACTTGGGCCACTTTTAAACTCTTTAGCATGCGTGATGCATACAGTGGAAACTTTTTTCGAGAAACTGGTGGCCAGGCCCGCAGAGGGGGCAGGGGGTGGAGAGACCATGAACCGGGGAAGGCTCCGTCGGGACGTGGGGGAGGAAGCCCTGCTGGCAGGGCCACATTTATCTGACAGCCTCACCACGCTTCTCTCTGGCACTGACAGAGAAGTGCCTGCTCTGTGTCACTGTTCGGGCTCAGAAAGCCAGAGTCCCGCGGTGCGGGAGGAACCCCCCCCTCGCCGTGGGCGGGCTGGGCCGCGTCTCTCCGAAGCTCTGACACCTGGGAGTTGAGAGCTTGGTAAGTGAAAAGTAAGCAAGGTCGAGACCGCCCGCATGGACGGGGAAGGCCGAGCCGGGGAGGCCTCCCTGCAGCTGCAGGACCCCGCCCCGCCGCCCAGGCGAGCCCAGAGGGACCTCTTCGCCTCTCCTATCTGCCTGCGAAGGGTGACGGTGACTGTGCAGTGACGGTGACCATGGCCAGCAGGGGCCAGACCCGCAGGCCTCTCTATCGGCGGCTCTCAGTTTGGCCCCGCACGGTGCCGCTAGCGACACCTAGAGACAAGTTTGTCTGTCCCAGCGGGGAACGGGGTGGGGCTGGGGGTGCTACCACGTTTCCCTGGAAACAAGACCTTCCCATGAAACAAGCCCTGGCAGGATGTCTGAGCACGTGCGCCATAGAAGCCCCACCCCGAAAATCAGCCCTAGTGACGGCTGTGGCTGCGCAGCATCTGCACAACCCGTGCGTGTCGTCGCGGAGCGGGAAAGAACACGAGCAGCCCTTCTCCTCCGCCCTGTGACAGCTCTAGTGCTCGGCAGGAGAGATCGGGGGCCCGTGGCTCTAAAGGAAACAGAGTCACAAGACATTCAGGATGGGATTCGGGGTCTGGAGAGTGAGGATGATGTTCCAGGAGAAGACGACCTCACTGTGTTTGAATCAATGTAGATTGCTATGCCGCACTTAAAAAAAATAACACATCCCCTGAAAATAAGCCCTGGGGTGTCTTCTTAAGGGAAAATAAGTATAAGACCCTGTCTGATTTTCGGTGAGACGCAGTACGGGCATCTAGAGGGCCGAGGCCGGGGATGCTGGCAAACACCCCAGGTCACGCGGGACAGCCCACAGCAAAGATCGGGCGGGAAGGTCACTTGTGCTGAGGCGGGGACGCCTTCATCTGCCGCGAGGAGGAGGAGCCCGCCGCAGCAGGCGTGAAAGGAGCTTCCCGCCGGGCACGAGAGGGAAGAGCACCGGCTGGAAACTGCAACATGGAGCAGAGCGAGCCGGCCGAAGAGGGCTGCCTGCGGTCTGGGCTGTCCCCCGGCCCGGCCCCCGGGGAGGTGACTGGCGCGTGGAAACGGAAATGGGCTCAGCCCTCCCTGGTCGCGAGCTTGGACAACAGAGGGTTAAAGGGGACCCAGCGCCCTTGTCCGCGACGCGCTGATGCGCAGCTGCGGCGCTTGCCGTGTTCGTCTGAGCAGCCTGCAGCCCAAGTTCAATGTCAGCGGGCTGCCGCTTGAGAACCGTGAAAACCGAGGCTCTCCAGGATTCGTTCCGGCAGCAGCAAAGAGCAAACGGCCCCCGAGGGCTGCAGCCGGACGAGAACAAGAAGTCTTCTCCCTCTCAGGAGAGAGGGGTGCTTGTCAATGAGATGTCACTTAACTCCAGTAAGAACGGCCTTTAGCAAAAAGTCCCCAAACAGCAAATGCTGACGTGGATGCGGAGAGAGAGGAGCACGCCTACACTGGTGGTGGGACTCAGCCTCTGTGGAGAGCAACATGGAGAGACCTTAAAGCCATACAAGTGGATCTGCCATTGGATCCAGCAGTCCCACTACTGGGCATCTACCCAAAAGATCAAAAGTCACTTTATGAAAAAGACACCTGCACGCGAATGTTTATAGCGGCACAGTTCACAATCGCAAAGATGTGGAAACAACCCAAGTGCCCGTCAATACATGAGTGGATTGATAAAATGTGGCGCGTATACACCAAGGCATACTACTCAGCTATGAGAAACAGCGGTGACAGGGCACCTCTTGTATTTTCCTGGATGGAGCTGGAGCCCATTCTACTGAGTGAAGTTTCCCAAGAATGGAAAAACCAGCACCACGTGCACTCACCAGCAAATTGATATTAACGGATCAAAACCTAAGTGGACATATAGGAGCAACATTTGTCGGGCGTCGGGCAGGTGGGAGGGGGCGGTGGGTGCATACATACATTATGAGTGAGGTGTGCACCGTCTGGGGGATGGTCACGCTTGAAGCTCTGACCCAAGGGGGGAGGGGGGCAAGGGTAATATACATAACCTTGACATTCGTACCCCCATAGTATGCTGAAATAAAAAAGAAAGAGGGGTGCTTGTTTTGCAGAATTGCGGCATTTTATTCACGATCGGTAATATTCTCTTGCCTGTCCCCGCTCGGAGCCCAGCGGCAGGAGGAGGAGGAGGAGGCTGCTTCTCTGGGAAGGCGAGTGACAGGCGTGGCCACAGTGGTTCACGCGTGTAGGGACGGAGGACAGAGAGCCAGGCAGGGGAGGAGGATGATGAGGCGGAGAGAGGAGGAGGCCCCAGGGAGGAGGGGCAAGGAGGAGCCCTGACCCCAAGTCACCCCGCCCCGTCTTCCCAAGCTGCCCTTTGCTTTCTTGGTTACCGTGGAAGCTCAGCGTGCCATTAGAGAGGACAGGAATGCAAAACCCTCGCAACAGAAAAATTTTAAGAGACAGGACGCGTTCTTTGGGATTGCGTCGACATTGTTCCTCCTTTCCCGCACACTCTCCCTGCCCCGTGCACGCCGCGCTGCTGGGACCTCACAGGTGAGCGAGACGCCCCTCTCGCCCCACCCCCGCTCTCCCCAGGCACCCGGAGCGCAGAGGGCACGGACGTGCCCCAGAAGACGTCCGTGGTGGCACAGCGGCCGTCCTGCGATCTGCCCTCAACAACCTGGGACTGAATTGTCGCGCCCTGTCACGACTGGTGGATGGGCTTTTCCTTAACTGAGCCAGGCTGGCCGGCACTCTGAGCATTGAAACAGCATTCGAGCCGGCGCGGTGGCTCACGCCAGTCATCCCAGCAAGGCAGGAGGATCGCTCGAGGTCAGGAGTTTGAAACCAGCCTCAGCAAGAGCGAGAACCCGTCTCTACTAAAAGTAGAAAGAAATTAATTGGCCAACTAAAAATATATAGAAAACATCAGCCGGGCATGGTGGCGCATGCCTGTAGTCCCAGCTACTCGGGAGGCTGAGGCAGGAGGATGGCATGAGCCCAGGAGTTGGAGGTTGCTGTGAGCGAGGCTGACGCCACGGCACTCACTCTAGCCTGGCAACAGAGTGAGACTCAGTCTCAAAAAAAGAAAAAAAACCAAGATGGTGGTGGAGTGGCTGGTGTTCCCGTCCCACGGGGCCAGGCTGGACCCGATCCCGCCAGCAGGGACGATGGCACCATGGGGCAGTGATGGGGACCCCCTCGGGCAGAGCCCCCACGCAGGCACCACGGCCCTGCCCGCCTGCCCAGTGCAGCCCTCGAGGGCCGGGCTTGGGGCCCGCCTGCACCTGCTCACGAGGCACTAAGCTCCACGGGCAGCATGAACAGGACTCTCCTCCCGTTTCCGAACCGGGCGTGGCCGGCGAGCCTGCCCTCCTCCGCGGCCAGCCCTCCCGGCCCCAGCAGAGAAAGCCGCCGGGGTCCCCGCGAGGACAGCCAGGACCCGCGGCAGGCAGAGCCCCCCGCCCCGACAAAGGCCGTTACCTCCACGAGTGTGGCTCGAAGCCCGGACACGAGCCCTGGCAGCCCAAACACGCCACGCCTCTCGCCGGCGGCAGCTGGCCCAGGGACATCTGGAAAAGGAGCAGAGAGGAGGGTGTGTTTTCCTTCCCAGCGTCGCGCCCCGGGCGGGGGATGCCTGGCCTCAGAGAGACTCGGCGCCGCCGGGCAAGGGGACGGCGTGGGGTTCAAAGGGCTGCAGGCCCAGCAGCCATCGCCAGCTGTTTACCGGGAACAGAGAAGACCAGAGACAGGGCCGTGGAACGTGGTCCTAGGGCAGCCAAATGCAGGGGGCTTCCCAAGGAGAACGCAGTGGGGGCTCCTCCTTCCCAGCCCTCGGCCGCCAAGAAAACCCAGACCCGCTGGAAATGCCCTGCTGTGGGCGGCCACCTGCCCCTCCCCCGACCTCGCCATGCCCCCCTTGCCACCTGCCCCTCCCCAACTCTTGCCATCTGCCTCCACCGCCATGCCTCTCCACCACCATGCCTCCCACCGCATGCCTCCACCCGCCACGCCTTCCCCACGCTCACCATGTCCCTCACCCACACGTCCTCCACCTTGGCCATTGCCCTCTTCCACCTACACTCCACCTCCCACACCCTCAATCCTTGCCATGCTCCCATCCACTTGTCACTGCAATGGAATCTTCCAGAGTCTCCTCCTGTCCCTCCTTGATTTGCGATTTATGGACAGGGTGTGATCAAACCAAACAGACGTGCACGCCGTCCAGTGTTTATGGCTCTGAAGCCCAGCTTAAATATTTTGGCAAAGCACTGAGAAACAAGACCACACGAGCGTCTAGCATCTCCTCTAAAGGGGGAAGGACAGCGCACACAAGGCGGGCCTTAGGACTGGCCGCCAGCGAAGGCCACGAACGTGCTGCTGCTGCCGCCGCCGAGGTGTTTGGGCTCGGTGGTTCTCAGACGGCACCTGCACACCGGGAGCGCCACCCGGGCCGTCCGGGAAGGCAGGACCCCGGCCCTACCCCAGCCCTTCTGAGCAGGAATCTGCAGTTTAGCAAAATTCCCAGCAGATCCGTATGACGTTAAAATCAGAGAGGCGGTGGGTTCGCATGTGGCCCCGCACTTTACGTTATGTTTTCTCTGTACCCATTTGGCAGGTGAGGAAACTGAGGCTCGTCTGGTCTCCAAGGCCACGCAGCCGATAAGTGGAAACTCTGGCTTTGGAGTCCAGGTCTGGCCAGCAGCCCAGCTGGCTTTGGGAAGCGGATTCGCCGGCTGAGAAATCCACGACCTCCCACCTGGGTGCAGGGCGCGCACCGATGGATCGTGATTTGGGCAGAAGCAGGGCTCGATCGACCAGTGATGCAAAGGGATTCAACAAACCTGGCGAGTCGCTGAACCACTTCTTGAGCACCCACTAGGTAGCAGGCACGGGGGCCAGAGCGCACGGCTCAGGTGTGCCGTGGAAGACGCCAGTCTGGGCGAGGCGGGACGGGGAGAGGCAAACCGCCCCCTCCTGCTCCTGGAAGGACCAAGGTCGCGTAGGAGGGACGCTGCCTCTCGTGCCGTAGAAAGGCACGGACTCTGGAGTCTGGGACGCCTGGACTCCAAAGCCAGCATTTCCACTTACCGGCTGCGTGGCCTTGGAGACCAGACGAGCCTCAGTTTCCTCCCCTGCCAGATGGGCACAGAGAGAACATAACGTAAAGGGCAGGCCCTATTAGGCGCTAGAAACGGTCCCTGCTGGTGTCTCGCACGCAGACTTTAGGAAGCCACAGAGGAAGGCGTGAATACATTGCTATGGGAAATCCAGGGAGGCTTCCTAGAGGAGGTAACTTGGAGTTGGGCTGCACAAGATGGACAGGCAGAAGAGGGAGGGAAGGCAGTGCCTAGCAGAAGGAAGAAAACGTGTGAGGGTAAAAAGGCACGAAGGCACACTGGGTAGGGTGTTGCAATCTGAGCACACCTTACGGTACGGTACTAGTGTCTATTTTTTTTTTTTTATTTTAAGAGGGGGGAAAAATGGCCGGGCGCGGTGGCTCACGCCTGTATTCCTAGCACTCTGGGAGGCCGAGGCGGGCGGATTACTCGAGGTCAGGAGTTCGAAACCAGCCTAAGCAAGAGCGAGAGCCCGTCTCTACTCTAAATAGAAAGAAACTAACTGGCCAACTAATATATATATGTAGAAAAAAATTAGCTGGGCACGGTGGCGCATGCCTGTAGTCCCAGCTACTCGGGAGGCTGAGGCAGGAGGATCGCTTGAGCCCAGAAGTCTGAGGTTGCTGTGAGCTGGGCTGACGCCAGGGCACTCACTCTAGCCTGGGCAACAAAGCGAGACTCTGTATCAAAAAAAAAAAAAAAAAGAAAAGAAAAGAAAAGAAAAGAAATTGAAGACAACACCCACCACTGACGCTCGCCCCAACCTGGGGAGCCTTCGTGTGCAGGCAGAACTGTGCTCCCTGAGGCCACGGCGGTGGCCTTGCCAATTCCCGCTTCTCCTTCCATTCTGCTCGTTGAAATACAGTGATCCTCCCGCACTTAAACTGTGAGTCACGCAGAGCTTATTGCGGGAGGCGCGATCTGCGAACCAGGGCTGCCTCAGGTGTGCCGGAGGCCAGGACCCAGAGACGCCGCGAGCACCACAGTGCCCTGGCCCGTGGGCGCCCCTGCGCTGCTGACGGGGGCGGATCGCACCCCGTCCTGCCAGGGGACCCGTCCCGTGCTTGGCCTGGAGCGTGGGGCCGTGAGCCCGTCCGCGGGCTCAGGGTCCCGTTTGGAGATCGCCATGTCAGGGCACCGGGCTGCGACGCGAGGGATGAACATGTGGGGCCAACGCTGGCCTTTATGACCGTGTTTCCCTGAAAACAGGACAGGGTCTTATATTTATTTTTCCTCAAGAAGACACCCTAAGGGCTTATTTTCTATTTTTAGTAGAGACGGGGTCTCGCTCTTGCTCAGGCTGGTTTTGAACTCCTGACCTTGAGCGATCCGCCCGCCTCGGCCTCCCAGAGTGCTAAGGGAGGAAAACAATGTTTTGACAGTTTTCTCTGCATGGGGTCTGTAGGATGCAGTTCGTCTGACGGTCTGTGGAGCTGGGCGGTGGCACGGCCTCACACAGACCGAGGTCATGCCGGGAGCCCCCAGGGGCGCCAGGAGGGGAGGGTGACGGCGGGGACCACGCTCCTTGCAGCATCTGCCTGCAGGGGTCCCTGGGAGGGCTCTGGGGGGAAATGTCACCAGGGACAGGGAGAGAGCAATCCATGCAGGACCGAGGGGGAGAGGGATTCCCAAGGGAAAATGCCATGTGGGCCCAGGCAGGAGCAGGGCACTGGAGCCGGACGGTGGGGCTGCTCCCCGCTGGGCTGCCCCCTCCTTAAGCGACTCTGTTTCCTCCTCTGGACGGAGGATCACCCCTTACCTTCCTGCCTCAGTGGCGCTGCCGTAAGCATCACATACAATTAACGGGTTCTTTGTGAAATGAAATAGATATATTGTTTATAGAGCATCCAGAGCTTGGACATAAGGCAGGGGCGGGTGGCACACCCTCTCGATGGTGCACAGTGGCAGCAAAGTACCCACAGTGGCAGCAAAGTACCCACAGTAGTAACAAAGCACCCACAGTGGCAGCAAAGTACCCACAGTAGTAGCAAAGTACCCACAGTAGTAACAAAGTACCCACAGTAGTAACAAAGTACCCACAGTGGCAGCAAAGTACCCACAGTGGCAGCAAAGTACCCACAGTAGTAACAAAGCACCCACAGTAGTAACAAAGTACCCACAGTGGCAGCAAAGTACCCACAGTAGTAACAAAGTACCCACAGTAGTAACAAAGTACCCACAGTGGCAGCCAAGCACCCACAGTGGCAGCCACGTGTCTGCGCCTCCCTTCCCCACAGGATGGCTGCAGAGACTGTCTTGGCTCAGCTCCAAGACTTGCTACCTGGCAGATCTGGGATCTCCAGCAGAGATGCAAATCATTTCTGTCCTTTTTGCAAAGGATAACCTCCGCCCCGCCACCAATATATTGTCCTGGAAGACACTGTTAACTAGTTCTGTAACTAACCCATCAATCTCGCCCTGACATTAAATGCCCTATAAATACTTTAGTCCTCGAATGCTTTGTAAACCGGCCTAAACATCTCTCCGGTCCCCTCACTAATGAGTAGAATAAAATCCTTGATAAATGTCACTTTATATTCCCACGACAGTCTCAGGATTGTATCTTTCTGAGGGCTGTGTCTCAGCACTGCCCACGTCCCCAGGGCTCTCCACGGGCTTGCTTTCCGTGGCCTGTTCTGAATCGGCATGAAATTCTACTCCGTGGGGGCTCGTTTTTCAGGTAAATTCTCTGAGCATGGGCCCATGTGTTATTCAAGAGTGTTGGTCACCATGTCTTATTACTTAAAGGCAAACTCTTCCTTAGGGGTTCCGGGAGAGAAGACGGGGTGAGATGGGTTGGGGATGGGGCGGTAAAGTCATGAGAAAGTCCGGGAAGGAAGTGGGTCAGACACCAAGCAGTGACCCGGAAGCCGCCCACCACCACCAGCCCCAACAGTCCAGCTTCACAGTCCACGAAGCGAGTTCACTTACTTATTCTTTTATTTAACCAAAACAACCTTTCCTTGAGGCATAGTCATTGTTCCTAGTCCACAGATGATGGATGGCCCTGAGTCTGAGCGTGGAGAAGTGGCCTGGCCATTCAGAATGGCCTCACTGGAGGTCCTTAGGGGACAGGGACACGGGCCTCCCAAGTCTACCCGTACCCTGTGCTGGCCTGTAAGTAAAAGCATTTTATCTTTTCCAGTGATTGTGATTATAGCTAGCGTCTACTATGAGCCAGGCACATGCCACGCATTTTCATATTTTCTTTAAGCTTCTTGGCAACCCTACAAGAAGGAGACTCTATTGACCTCATTTTCAGATGAGGAAACTGAGGCTCAGAGAGGTCAAGCCTCTTCTTTCTTCAAGTCCAACCGCCAGGAAGTGGAGGAGCAGGGCCGTGGACCCGGGCGGGTCTTACACATCTCGGCTGAGGTCTCACCCATCCGCTGTGGCACGTTCCGCCAGGGCACCGCGCTTTACAGTTTACATAAAGCAGATCCGCACCCCTT